ATGTGGAGTCTGTGCCAATGCACACGTGCACAAGACCTGCTTGCACATGCAGAGCCTTCCCACAACACACATGTGCACATCAACACACGCGTGCTCACAGAGCTGTGCACACCAGCACACACCAGCACACACCTGCACACACCAGCACACACCTGCACACACCAGAACACACCTGCACACACCAGAACACACCTGTGCACAGCGCCTTGCACATCAGTTGGGATGTGCAGTGCACAGCACCGTGCACCTCAGCACACGTGTGCATGCAGAGCTGTGCACTGTCACAAATACACACAGAGCCATGCACACTGACACACGTGTGCGCAGCACCGTGCACCTCAGCACACGTGTGTGCACACAGAGCTGTGCAAACCACGTGTACACACAACCATGCAGAGTGGGACACTCACTGCGTACGTGGTACCACGCACCTCAGCACACGTGCACAGAGCCACACACACTGGCACATACAGGTGTACAGCACTGTGTACATCAGCACACACATGTGTAGGGTCACGCACACTGGCACACGCGCGTGCAGAACGGCAAACACGTGCTCACAGAACTGTGCAAACCGCCACAGGTGCGTGCACAGAGCTGTGCAGACCAGCAAACACATGTGCACAGGGCCACACGTGGGCACACGCACAGCACCGTGCACCTCAGCACACGGGTGGGCACACAGAGCCAGGCACACCCACGTGCTCCGCGTGTCACACCCCGGCAGACACACGCACAGTCACACACACACGTGCGGTGCCACACGCACTGGCGCACACTCGTGCCCAGCACCACACCCCTCAGCACACACACGTGCTCGCTGAGCCGAGCTCCCCAGCCCCCCTGCCCTCGCCCCCGCTCCACCCTCCGAGCCCTACTCTCGGTGCGGGTGCCGCCGCGGTGCCCACAGGGGCCAGCGCGCGGCCAGGAGCTGGGGCTGGTGGTACAGCACCATCCCCGCCAGCGTCAGCGCCACGCCGGCGTAGCCCAGCGCGCCCAGCCGCGTGCCGAACAGCAGGCGGGACAGCAGCAGGTTGCCCACCACGGTGAGGCTGCCCAGGAGGTGCAGCGTGAGGGCGGAGGTGAGGGACAGGAGGCAGGATGTGGCCAGGTTGTAGAGGACGGAGCCCAGGCAGCTGAGCAGGACGCAGCCCCAGAGCGCGGCGTCGGGGCGCAGCACCCCCTGCCACGAGGGGCCCAGCTCCAGCGCCACGGCCGCCCCGAACAGCAGCACGAAGCTGGGCAGGGACGTCAGGCCGAGCAGGGACAGCGCATCCAGATGGTCCTCCTGCAGCAGCACACCTAGAGGGACAGGGAACAGTCAGGGGGACGCGTGGGACAACTCAGGGGGACACCCAGCACCTGCAGCGGCACCCACCCAGCACCTACAGGGGCACTAAGCCAGGGGGAACACCCAGAACCCACAGGGACACCCAGATGGGAACACCTACCGATATGGGTCCCTGCTCACTGCCCAAGTGCTTAAGAAATCCCAAATGTCACTAGGAAAGGGGAAATGGAGGGGACAGTCCCTTCCATGGGCAGGGGCTCCCCTGCCTTGGGGGGTGTCCCCCACTTTGAGGGTTCCCTGGTTCAGGAGACACCCCAGCATAGAACTCCCCATTTTTGGGATTCCCTGGTTTTAGGGGGTACCCTGGTTCCGACACTGTCTGCGTTCAGGGGTGTCCTGGTTTGGGGGTCAGGGTGCCACAGGACAGGGTTGGACAGGGCAGCTTTCCCAGTCTGTTTTGAAGCATTTGTCCCCATGTCCCCCCTCTGGGTCATCCGGGGACAGTGGGGACAGCAGGCACGACAGGGTTGGCTGCCACACACAGGCATGCACAGGGGGCAGTGCTGCATCCATGGGGGACAGAACAGCCCCCAGGCTCCCCAGGGCCACTGTCCATGTCCCATGGGGGTGACAAGGGGGACAGGGCAGTGGCACGATGGGCAGGGGTGTCCCTTGGGGGGCCACAGCACCTTGGTACAGCCACGGGGACCACAGGGAGGGCACAGCAGAGCCCATCCCTGCAGTGCCCTGAGTCACAGGCTCCAGAGGAAACACTCCCATCCCAGCCAAAAGCATCCTGGCTGGCTCCTCACTGCCACTTGCCAAGGACATCATGGCCCGGGTGGCACCGGAGTCCCTGGGAATGGGGGACTCATAGGGGTCCAGAGCCCACAGCGCTGGCAGGGAGCCCATGGGAACGGGGCAGGCTGGGTGTCCCTGTGGCCCCCACAGCCCCAGGACATGGGTCAGTGCCAGGGGACACCACAGGGACACCAATGGTGTCATCACTGAGGTCAAACTGAGGTCACATCACCTCAGGGCCAGGAGCATGACACAGCCCCAAGGGAGCAAGGGTGTCACTGGAGTAGCACTGAGGTGACACCAGTGGGCAAGGGGTGTCACTGGGGTGATAGCAGGGTGGCACTGAGGCCAAGGAGGACAGCATGTGGCACTGGGACTTGGATGGCATGGGATTGGCAGTGGGGTGGGCGTGACACTGGGGGCCAGAGTGCCACCAGGGCTGGGGTGACAGGCACTGGGGCCAGGGTGGGCATGGAGTGTCACCAACACAGGGGGCCACTGGGGTGACACCAGTGACAGGGTGGGGCTGGGGTGGCACTGGGGCTGAAGTGACACGAGGATGACATCCAGTACAGGGTGGGCAGCACGAGCGAGCAGTGAGCGTCCCCAGCCCCACGGTGACACTGGGGTGCCACCAGCCCCCCCCCCCCC